ACAATTGAACAGTGAGGTGCCTCCTTAGTGTACATTCCCTCCACTGCTTACGAAAGTGCACGTGTTTCCTGTATTTTGTCAATTCGTCTGGATGGCACTAAAATCCCACCTTTAATCATTTTAAAGGGCAAGAAGGAAAAGATTGTACATGTTTTGGGCGTTTTTATTCTTGAAACTGAAAAAGCCTGGGCCACACAAGCACTTATAAGGAAGTGGGTCGATTTAATGCTGCCACTTGTTATGGGAGGGAGCCAAAGAGGTCTGCTAGTCTGGGATGCAGCCAGCACTCACTGCACTAAAGACATGAAGACATTTCTTCAGGAAAGAAAAGTAGATCAGATAATGATTCCCGCCTATCTCCAGACTCTTGATATTGCAATAAACAAGCCATTCAGAGACAATTTGCGCATGGAAATTAATGACTACATTGAAAATAGAATGAAGAGAAATCAGTGTGGTAACTTTGTGAAACCTAAACTGCAAGAAGTTGTGACTTGGGTGAAGAATTCATGGGAGAAAATCACTGACAGTTGCATTGCAAATGCACTGCGAGCAGGCTACCTTGACAAGAAGTACTCATTTAAAGACAGTGTTATTGCTAAACATGAGAGATTTTGTCCACTGATTCTGAAAGAAATGGAGTCACAAGAAATTCACCAGGAAATTCAGAAATTGGATTGTTATGATGATGTTCCAGGAGATGATGACATGATTGTCATTGAATAAATGAGTAAATTCTTGTTACTGTAGGATTCACAGTTTGTCTGGTTTGTGTTGACAACTACTGTACTGCCGTACCGTATACAGGTAATAAATTTCCTTTATTTTCATTTAACAATAAATGTGTACCATATTCTTCTTCATGGAAAAATAAGGCATCCCCTGAAAATAAGACCTAGGGCATCTTTGGGAGCAAAAATTAATATAAGACACTGTCTTATTTTTGGGGAAACAGGGTATAAGTAACTTTCAGATTGGATTATCTCTAATGTCCCTCTTAAACCTTCAAAGAATTCTACATGAGAAATATTAACAGCCTCTAATTATGCCTATCTCCATGCTAGATATACTTCTGAACATTTCATAGTCATTCTCTCCTTTTATACTCATGACATCCTCATGGAATGACTATTAACCCCATTTTAGTAAGAAACAATTTTAAAGTATTTTAATCAACATATCAAAGTATTTCCAGAAATATTTATCTTCACTGTAGTTATTCTAGCACTGAGATACTTAGTTTACAATCAATTTATGATCAAAGCATTTCAATACATCTAGCAAAAAAATAAGTTGAATTATTATAATCTTCATGAATAGGGGAAATGTTCATAGCAATTAACAACTCAGAGAAATAATAATCAGATTTTTTTTTCTAATACTGTCCTCTTTTATTATGTAGGTTTTTAAAAATATATATTTTGTTGAATTTTTTTACAAAGAAGGGAGAGGGATAGAGAGTTAAAAACATCGATGAGAAAGAAACATTGATTAGCTGCCTCCTGCACACCCCTAGTGGGGATGTGCCCAAAACTAAGGTATGTGCCCTTGACCAGAATCGAACCTGGTACTCTTCAGTCGCCAGGCCAACACTCTATCCACTGAGCCAAACCGGTCAGAGCAATCAGCCTGTTTCTTGAAATATTTTTAACACTATGGCGTAATGAAAGACTACTTTTTCATCCATGATTCTGAGTACATCTAGTTACTATTTTTCCCCTTTGTATAACTTTTAGACTTTTTCATCCATGATTCTGAGTACATCCAGTTAATATTTTTACCCTTTGCACAACTTTTCATAAACAATTCACTTTACAATTATTTGCCAATTTATTTGTAATTCTAATCTGCCTTTCAGTAGAAATTGAAATCTGGATTCAAATTACAGTTGGTCTACCTACCGGAAATGAAGACAAGTTCAACAATGAGACTTGCATAACAGGACCTATCTGAAGGCCTTAAGACTTAGTAGGCCCCTCAATAAAAATTAATTTCCCCTTCCTTTCATCCTCAGAGTAAATTAAATATAAATTAAGAGCCAATTTAAGGATTTGTTGAGAGTGTACTAATAAGAGTTAAGGGAGGATGTGACAGGGGCAGTTAGTGGACATTAATTACACCACGTAACTATTTGGAAATTAACACAGTCTCCCAAATCCATCATCACACAAATCAGTTTAAGGTGAAAGGACTATTTATTCCCTTAGTCTGACATTTTATAATTCTAGTTCTGGTATTGTTCCTTAAGTAGAGAAGTATATCCTCAAATGCATTGAATGGATGCATAATTTATCACTTATATTACCTATTGTATTCTGTTTTATTTTCCCTTGTGGTAAAAGATACAGAACCTCCCTTTCACCCATACAACTAACTGCCCAAGACATTTTTATTCAGATTTCTTTCTAAAAGGAGAAATATAAATTGGAGCCTTTCTCTTCATTGTACAAGACTGTGAGTATAAATCATATATTTCATTAACTGTCACCTACTCAAGTGCATATTATCCATTTTATGGATTACTCACAATTAAGTCATTCACTAAGTTACTTAATATTACCTTAAGTTACTTAATATTACCTTACCCTTAGTAAATATTAGGAAACCAAATGTTAAAAAGAAAAAAAACAACAATCTTTGGCTTTAGATTACATAATCAATTTCTTCCCTTGGTAGCATATAAAACAGAACTACTATACTGTCAGAATTTATTAATCAATGCATAAAATTAAACTTAACATAGATAATCTTTTATTCAAAAAAAAAAAAAAAAAAAAACCTTCACAAAGCTCACCTGCAGGGTGGATCCAAGACAGGAGCCTAAGAACAGATCTATTGCTAATCTAGAATATTATAAAATATGTAAGGTTTCATGTAAAAATTGGTAGCATAAAAGTATGTCAGCCTAACTTAACTCATAATTTAGCAATGTAAAAAACAAAGTTTAAGTTCTTCCTGTTTAGTTTTATTTCCTTGTATATTTAGTTGGTATTGGAGTTTTTTAAAATAGCCAACTTCATTTGTACCTAAAGTAATTTAATCTCACTGTACAGACACTGTATTTCACAGGCTAAATTTATTCATCTGTTCTTAAAACTGATTTCAAGAAATATAATAAGAGTAGTTAGAAATTTTCCAAAAATGTTCTGGCCCTCAAATAAAATTTCAATGCAATTTCAGCAATTAAGGGTTATTTGATCAAGCAAATTAAAGCTAAAGGTAACCAAACCAACTTGCTTATTAATGATACCAAACGGAAAGCAGGCCCAGCCGGTGCTGCACAGTGGGTGAGCACTGGCCTATGAACGTGGAGGTCACTGTTGGATTCCTGGTCAGGCACATGCCTAGGTTGCAGGCTTTCTCCCTAGTGTGAGGCATGCAGGAGGCAGCTGATCAATGATTCTCATCACTGATGTTTCTATCACTCTCTTCCTCTCCTTTCTCTCTGAAATCAAAAATATATATTTTTAAAAAGCAAAACAGGAAATAGAAAGATTTTCAGCCTATGAATATAATAAAAATATCAATCATAACCTAATTTTCAGAAGTTTAAAATTCCTGTAGATACAAAGTCTACCGATAACATGGTTTCCAGATGTAAAACATATAGAAAATAGGTACTGAAAAGACACCAAACCTCTAAATCCAGTGAATGCCAATACCAAAATAAAATAAATAAGAAAAATACATTTTCAAGAAAGTCACTAAACAGAGAGCAATGCCAAAGAAAACACACACACCCTTTATACCAAGACAGTTTCCACCTTCTTATTTATAAGGAGTAAAATAAAAATCAAAAGACAATTTAAAGCATTAAAAACTTGCCTGAAAATTTCAATTTCATCCTTTTCCTTTCAATGCTTAGAAAGGCAGAAAATCAAATTTCAGCAAATATGATACTTACTTCCTGTTAACTTTATTTTCTACTTGTTACCAGAATGAAATAGCTAACTTTAATTAATATGTAAAGTATCCAAACCCTTTACCTATTTACTCATTTAATTACTACCCTTATTTCTTAGAAGAAAAGTATGGAATAGAGATTAGTAACTTGACCAAGGTAACAACTAGGAAGTGGTGGAGCCATGATTTGAACTGTATACATCTAAGATAATGAGCAAATTAAAAAAAAAAAAAAAAAAAAAAGAGTAAAACTTTCTGGCCAAAACAGTTTGCAAAACAGGATTGTTGTGAATGAGAACAAAATGCTTATAAGTATATGTAGAAGTGAACGTAAATTACACAACTTTATCCCAGTAGACAAATACTTTGGTGCTATCACATTTGATTATGGTCAAACACTTTAAACTACATCACACCATGGTGACAGTCCAACGAGTAAATAATTTGTTGCCACTGTTCTGTTCGGTCGAGGAAAGGGGATAAGAAAGGAAAAGATGACAATCACACTGTCTTAGCCCCATCTCCCTCCCCCAAAAAGTAAACCACCGCGGGTGGCTGAGCGCCTAAGCCCACAGGGCTGCCCGGGTGGGTCTCCGGGAGGGATGACAGGACCGGCAGAGGGGGAGGGGTGGCGGTGACAGGAGAGGGGGCGGCAGGGACCAGGCGAGCCCCGATCTCCGAAAAAGGGGGACCGCAGGGGGGGGAACAAGGGAAGGCAGGAAATGTTGCCAGGGATTCCAAAAGAAGTGAGAAGGAACTGGGTAGGAAACACAAGAAGGCGGGACCCTCGGGCAGAAAGGGGTCTGTTTGGAGAAGGGGAGGCATGTCAGGACCGCAGAGCGCTCCTGCCAGGGCCCCTCCGCCCCCGACAAACTCTCACTTTTCCGCCCCCCCCCCCCCCGGCCGCGGGTCAAGCCGTCTCCTCCCCGCCCCCCACCCCGAGCCGGGGAGGTGGAGGGAGAGCTTCCCCCTCACTCTCCTTGTCGGGCTGGTGCAGCGAGCAACGGGCGCAGCCCCGATCCCAGGACCAGGAGGCCGGGAGGCGCAGGGAGGCCCAGGTCCCGGTGACAAGTCCGAGCGGCCGGCGGGCGCCTCACCTGACAGAAGCGGCGGCAGTAATCCCGGCTGCTGATCCCGACGACGCCGCCGCCGCAGCTGCTGTCGCCGGTGCCGTCGTTGCCGTCGCCCGCAACTCTCAGCCCCGCAGGGCCCGGCGGGGACTCCACAATGGCCACGAGCTCTTCTCCGAGGCGTTCGGCCTCTTGATCGCTCTCTTCCTCCGCCATGAGGCTCTCGCCGCCCAGCGCGTACCAGCCCCTGCGCCGCCGCCGCCGCCGCCGTAGCAGCCTCGGCTAACCTCCTCCTCTTCTAGTTCCCTCCCCTTCTCCCCGCCCCTGGTGGACGGAGGCCTCGCGTCTGGCTCTACTTCCGGCTCCGCCCACCCACGCCCCCAGTCCTCAATGGAGAAAGCTGGCCGCCAATCAAGCGCACGCCCGCCTTTCTTCTACCATTGGTCAGAGCAGCCGTCTGTTCGATAGGTCCGCTGCCGATTGGTCGCCGCTGCTCGGCGGTTGCTGGGGACCGCCTACGAGTTTTGCCCATAGGCGGTGCAGGAGGACGGGGCGCGGTGGGGGACACGGCGGCCGCCGCGGGGCTTGACCGGGCTACGGCGGCGGCGGCGGCGGCGGCGGCAACGGCGAGAAGTCCTTTTCTCCCCTCACCCCCTTGCTCCGTCTTCTCTTCCTCCTCCTCCTCTTTCCGGCCGGCTTTCGTGCACTTCCCCTAGAGGCCGCCCGGATCCTACGGTAACGAGAGGCTGGGGAGGCCGAGGGCGGGCCCGGCCGTTGGTGCAGGCTGTGGGCCCGGGGCCTGCGAACGGGGAGCCGGGGGCGGAGCCGGGGCTCCTTGTCGGCGGATGGAAGGGGGAGGAGACGGGAAGCCTTGACAGCGGCCGCCCCGTCAGGCCCCACCGCCTCCTCCCCGGAGACTGCCGCCAACTAGGCTGTCTGTCTGGTGGCGGGGCCCGGGCCGGCCGCTGGGGCTCGGCCCTGCCCAGCTAGCGGGGCCGGGCGGCGGGCGCCGGCGCGGGAGGAGGGCGTCTAGACGGCGAGAACGCCCCGCGCCGCCTCGCCCTCGCCCTCCGGAACCGGGGCCCGGGGCGCGCGGAGGGGCCCGAGCGGGCGGGCCGCGGGGCGGAGAGCGGGCGGAGGGGCGCTCGGGTAAACGTCGGGATCGGGGTCTGTGGGGCAGAGTTTCCTAAAGAGAAAGGTTGTAAAGATGCCTGCATGGTGGCAGTGGATGTTCCTGTTCACATTTTCACCCACCCTTCTTTTTCTCCCGACCCCTGTTTTTCCTCCCCGTTTGTTTTGTGTGTTACAGTGAAGGCATGACTTCCCAGCATCTCAGGGAGTGCAGGGTGCGAACCCAGAAACTATTTTCCCACCACCACTTGTTGAAAAACTGATTGTGAAAGCAGTCTCGGGTTTGAAGCAACGGAAAGTGCCAGGATTTCATGCATCTCTGGTTTTGCGCTGGGACTCCTCACTACTAAGTATCAAGACTAAAAAAAAACTGGCAACTAATCAGGTAAACATTGAGATTTGAAAACGACTTTTATTTTGCTCTAGTAAGTGATTTGCTGCTTTTGTTTTGTTAGCTTAATCCCTGCTCTTCTTACTTCCGCGTTTAAAATATCTTTACCTTCTTTTGAAAACACTTTTGTTCTTCAGGTCTGAAACTCAGGAAGAGTTTGCTTTTGCAGTAACATAAACAAATGTTGGGTAGATGTTTGCTTTTGCAGTAACATAAACAAATTTTGGAAGAAAGATTTAGGCATTACTGGGCACAGATATTTAATGTTTTTAATAACTAGTTTAGAGCCATTAATAATTGGAACTGATTTGCTATAGGTGTATAAAATATAAATCATTAACAAAGTACACACGTATAATGGTAATTTACTGTTTGTTGGGCGGGAATCATATCTGCCTTGAAAACCTTTAGCCAGCACAATATTTGGCACATGAAAGCTATACATTAAACACATTTTAATAGAAAATTTGCATTAACCCTATTAAAACCTAAATTTTATCATGCTTTCCAGAATTTCTGTGAAACATTAAGGCCTTCTCTGAGTTTATGTCCATAGGTGTCTAATACGTTGGCAATTTAAAGTTATTTTGAGATAGTTTTCATATTACTCAGCTATGAGTTCTCTAGCATGGATTAACACTATTATTTCTGATTACACTTATAAAGAAAGCATAGTTCCTATCATATATCTATAGAACAGAATTCTATCTTCAATTCTATCAAGTTCATTTGAGTTTCTTATATCTAGGTTAATGTAATAGCTTAACCCAAAGGCATATGGCCTCCGGAAACAGTCTCCACCAATAATATTTGTTCCGTGTCTCAAGCTTTCAGTGCCACTGCTTTTGGCAATGATCATGCAGGTTTGTAATTAGGATAAATTTAGAAATTTTTAAGCTGCTTCTGAGATTAGTATTTGAAAAAATAGTGAAGGTAATCATTTACTTATTCCATCAACAAGTTGTGATTGAATATCTGTCATGTACTAGGCACTGTGTTAATGATTTTTGGTTTTGTTCTAGCTGACTAATAAATAAAATAAATATTAATAGATGTAAATATTAGTCTTTAATGGAAAAACGGTAAAAAAATGTTAGAAAAAGCACTTTTTATATATCTTGTTCATCACCTTTTGGAATTAATACATTAATTCTTTGAATTCTATTTTTGCTTTAAAATTTAATATTGTTTCTGATGTTACTTGTGTTTGGTCTGCTTTTTTAACTTAGGGTGTACTTTTTTTTCTTTGCGTAGTTGTAGAAACTATATTTATCTTCATATACAATTACGCCAGTTATATCCCCCTGTTTGAACAAACTTTGTTTGCAATTCCCAATGGTTGGTTCTTAAAATCAGTTGCCCCAGAACTGTTGAAGGAAAAGAAGCTCTTTTAAACTTAAATACATATCTAAATTGGATAAAATTAATATAATACCCTAAATATTGACCTGTGATTAGGTTTTTCTAAAAGATAGTGACAAAATATATTAATATTTATTTTAAAAAAAAATAAAGAAAAGGAAAAAAAAAGCCGAAACCGGCATTGGTCTGCGGACTGAAGGGTCCCAGGTTTGATTCCAGTCAAGGGCATGTACATTGGTTGTGGGCACATCCCCAGTAGGGGGTGTGCAGGAGGCAGCTGGTCGATGTTTCTAGCTTTCTATCCCTCTCCCTTCCTCTCTATGGAAAATCAATAAAATATATTTTAAAAAATAAATAATTAAATAAAAATAGAAGATAGTGACATCTGAGATAGGTGTAATTCTTTTTTCATAGTTTAAATTTATTGTATTTCATCAAATTCCAAGAATGGATATAGTTGTTACTAGTAATGGGTACACAATCTATTAATTTAAGTTTTCTGAAATCTATAAATCGTAAAGTTTATGTTTTTCTTGTTAACTGCTTCCCAAATGAACTGTTGTTATAACACGTATGTTTTTTCTTGTCTTGAAAGAACCTTATTCAAAGTCAAAATGGAAAGATTTGTAGTGACATCACCCCCTGCTCGAAACCGTTCTAAGACTGCATTGTATGTGACTCCCCTGGATCGAGTCACTGAGTTTGGAGGTGAGCTTCACGAAGATGGAGGAAAACTCTTCTGCACTTCTTGCAATGTGGTTCTGAATCATGTTCGCAAGTCTGCCATTAGTGACCACCTCAAGTCAAAGACTCATACCAAGAGGAAGGCAGAATTTGAAGAGCAGAATGTGAGAAAGAAGCAAAGGCCCCTAACTGCATCTCTTCAGTGCAACAGCACTGCACAAACAGAGAAAGTCAGTGTTATCCAGGACTTTGTGAAAATGTGCCTGGAAGCCAACATCCCACTTGAGAAGGCTGATCACCCAGCCGTCCGTGCTTTCCTGTCTCGCCATGTGAAGAATGGAGGCTCCATACCTAAGTCAGACCAGCTGAGGAGAGCATATCTGCCTGACGGATATGAGAATGAGAATCAGCTCCTCAACTCACAAGATTGTTGACCAGAAGGTTACCATCATTGTGATCAAGATTAAATAATGTGGAGTGTTAAAGTTATGTATTGATTATATGGTTCATTTTTATATTTATTTCGTTTAAAAATCATGTGATGCAGAATAGTTTTTCAATGTGTATATAGTTGCAAGCAAAAACAAAACGAAAATTTCACCATAAAACTTACTTTTAATTTTAGTCACCAATGGTGTAAAACAAAGCTTAAGGTTTAGAGTGTGCTAAACCTGATGGCTATCTTTCAAGTTGAAGGTTTTTCTCCTGAAATAGTTGTGTGTGGAAGAACTGCCCTGCTCTTTTACGCTATCGCCATGTATGATTATTCCTTGTGAGAGTTCTTACTTACTTGGATTGAAGACTAGCCTAGGAAATTGAAGCTGCTGCCAGGCAACACCACTCATAGTAACGTAAAGGAACTCTTTCTGATTAGAGGATCCTCCTCAAAATGGAAGCGATGGTGGTAAACTGTTCTTGTATATTCAGATCCCTAGCAGAAAATGACTGTTTATTTCAAACTATGCTTTATTTTGTATATGATGTAGTTACCTTAGCTATCCTTCAGTTCCTCGCTGTGTTTTTCCCCCTTTTTAAAGGCTTATTGTTATATTTAGTAACAGCTTCAAGTGACCAAAAGACTAAAATCTTTTAATGTCAGTGCCAAAAGCCATAGGGAATTTTGCCGTGACAAAATTTTAGTCTCTTAACATAAAGACAACATTTTTGAACCATCTTGACTTTGTAAGCTTTTTTTTTTTTTTTTAATATCTTGGTGCTAAAGACACCAAGATTGTCATTTTAATTTTAACAGGTAGACACTTTATTATTGAGTTTTCTGTTTTTATAGAAAACTAGTAATTTTTTGCTGACAGATCAGAAAACAAGGAAATTACTTTCTATACATTAATTTTTCCATATGGTTTTATAAGAGTTTAGTTGGGATAAGTAGACAAGAAACAAATTTACTTTCACTTTTATGTGCTTTGCCTCTGGTGGTAAAAGGTTTTTAAATGGATGGTAAACATTGTCTAAAAATACAAGATTTTTGTGTATCCTATACAACTCTTTGGGTGACAAAATAATCAGTTCTGTTAGAGGTCAACCACGTTCAGGAAATGATCTCTATCTGAACCTCACTATCTTTTAAGGTTATCAGAGACCCAAATTATATATATTTTTTAAAAACTAAACAGTTGAAAACTTGGAGTATAGCTTTAAAAAAAAAAAAATCTTAAATTCTTTGAAAGCATTCAAGTTAAAATACTTATAAAATATATTTCTATTACAAAGCACTGACAAATGATCCCTATGTTAACAGCAATTATTATATTTAAGGTTATTTTATCACAAATCTTTATTTAAAAAAGAAAAGCCAAAGTGAGTAAAAACAA